ACTAACATGCCTTCAGCACCACGAAAACACTGTCCAGATTTAGTCACATTACGACTCCCTGAAGGAACTCAGTTTGAACATCTTAAATAAATAAATAAATACATACATCCATACATGAATAAGATCTAGGTGGTATGCTTTGCAAGACTCCCTTTTGCCTTGAGGAGCCTCTGGCCCCCATGTGGGTGCAGTGTGGCAGGAGAGGTGCCCACAGCAGCCAGCACAGGCTGTGCAGATCCTGCTGGCAGCTGCCAGCTTGGAAGCAGGGAGCAAAGCCGCACGCCCTGCGCGGGTCACCGCGCTGGCACGCACAACAAAGCACGGGCAGCGCAGTACAAAAGGGCCAGCAATGGAGACCGAAGCTGGATGTCACACAGGGACAAAAGCCGCGGGTAAAGAGAGAGGCCAGGACAGGCTGAGCTCTGTAGGAGGAGGGTGTCATCCACAGGACCCTGATGTTACATTTCTGCGCGTCTGGACGAATCATGTATTAATTAGGTTGTGCATTCAAAGCTAGCTGAAACTTCTGCTGATTTTGGCTTTAATTGGCAAGTTTTTAATTTCTCCTATATAAAATGGGGTAGCAATGCCAGATATTGTTACTATAATTGAAGTGTATTATCAGAGCTGTGGAAGCCACATTCATGAATCAGGAATCTGCTGAGCAAAGTACTGTACAGACACTTCATATCACAGCAGCGTGATGCAGATACTTATACCTGTGTCTGTCACAAAGGAAGATGTCTTAGCAAGAGCAGCAAAGAACCTCAAAAGAAATAAACAGATTCTGTGTCAGATTTGGACATCATCCTGCAGAAGATCCACACCGAGCAATCAAGATAAATATCAATATGAAGCAGTGACCCAAGTGCAAACTGAAGAAATTCTCAGGGGAAAAAATGGAAAAATATAATTAAAGATAAAAAAAATGACCACGTATCAGAGGGATACTGACATTTTCTGTGATATCAGCAGCACAGGTGAGAGAACTGGGACAAACATTCCACCTGGCTTTCACTGCCCTCAGTGACCCACGAGCACACACTTTTATCCTGCTACAAGGAACCTTTAAAAACCACACTCCAAACAGACAAATGGTTGCGTGGCCAACAAGGCCTTAATTACTGATGTGACAGAGCTGTCATTGTTGGCATTCATGTTTTGGTTTTGTCATGATATGGAGAAGTACAATCAGCAAAGCAAAAGTCCTCCTTTCATGTAATCTGTTGCTGTTCCAGGTTTCAAAGACCCTGTGCAACCCTTCAAACTCATCAAGAAGCAGACCGGTTTCAAAGCAAAGATTTGCACTGCAATTGCAAATAAAAAGATTGGTTGCTTTAAAATTTGAGGATTTTTTACAAGATTTTGATCCAGAAACCAATTTAATTTGGCAACATCCTTCTACCTGCACTTATTATGCTTAGGAGATAACACACGGCAGCCACCACACACAATGTGCCGGTCCAAATATGCACCACGTGCCTGTTCTTCATGTTGGGCTGCTGCCTGTCATCAATTCCCAAAATAATTAACTTTCTGGAGGAACGGCTGGAGGAGAATAGTGCTTCCTCCACCTGCTGGTGAGGAGGAAGAAAAGATGTCGTGGCTCAGGCAGAAAGAGGAGGACGAAGGTGGCGGGGAGGCAGGCTCCTGCAGCTACTCCCCATCGCCTCCCAAGGGAGAGAAAGGGAGACAAACTTCCTGGCTTTTGCAAACGGCAAACAGAAGACGCCTATCTGCAATCTAAATTTGCATTCTAATGAGTATTTACTCCAGTGGAATCAAAGAAGAATCCAGCAGCATTTACCATCTTCATGCACCATGCACAGAATCAACCAGAGGTGGTCAATGCACACCTTAAGTGAGGCTGAAATAAGTGTAACTGTGGATTTCTTGGCTAACAAACATTGAATACATAACACGAACAAAAGTTCCGTTCTTTGGTTTAACATGTGCGAGATGACAAGTGGAAAAAACACCCACAGAAACATCAGCATGAGTGTTACTTCATAGGCTTGAGATATCATCTCTTCATTCTTACACTTGCTAACAGGTGCCTTAATTTAAAATGTCATAAGTTACAACTGTGTATACTGAGACAGTACTAATGAAGAAACCTTGCTGGCAAAATTAGGCACCTCATACATCATATAGTGGGCAATATTTTAGCTGCTCCATGCAGCATGCAATACTGTCTGTAGTCACTGTGGTAACTAACGCACAAATTCACCTAAGTTGCTTCCAATAACAAACCAGATGTATCATACAATCTACCCCGGAGCTTTATGGCAGGAAACTTTATGATCACGTTCCACTGTGTTATAAGGAAAGACAATAAAGTTAAAGTTAAGAGGAATAACAATTTGAATAAACCTGTAACCTACTAACATGTGCCAAATACTACTTTCATTCAAGGGAACAGAAATCCTGCCATTGATTTTCAATGGCACAGGATTAAAGCACATCTGTACTTTGCATTGAACTGTCTTCTCACCTTGGTTTTACTTTATTTACCCAGACTTGCCAGTTTATTTCATTTCTGAGCTCTGCTTATACAGATGACGACAAATCCAAAGTTTGTGCTTCACATTAAAAGCCTGGCTAATCATGCAAACCTCTTTATTAAATGCCACACAGCTAAAGAAATTCTTGACAGACAGGAGAAGTGGAAAGGCCAAACAGGAGAATTTCTTGAACAAGACTGATGAATGGGAACACAAGATCCAACTTTGCAATCTGTTACCATACAGATTCAAATACCTGCTTACCACTGAGTAAAGAAAGAGAAAATCAGCTAAACCAGCAGCGGAATAGGAAGCAACCAGCCTGGACAAGAGCACCCTTAGGACTCTCGCTGCTGTCTGCAACACGATTGGCATTGGACGTGATGCAACAGACAGTGCCGGCCACATTCCCTGCTCTGTGCATCCCCTGCTGGACACAGCAGCATCTGGTCCAATCTGCTCATGGATGATGCAAACACTGCCCATTAATAAGAACTAAGAAGAGGAAAGAGAAGAGAAAGAGAGGTGGAAAAAACAAAGAAAAACGGCCCCTCTGATCAGTCATCCCATCGGTTCTCTTATCTCACTCACGGGAAGGAATCAGTTCACTGTAACAGCCAGACAAGGGAACTGTCAGAAAATAAGAAGCGTTTTCCATTGACTGAGAGCTGGCTGGATTCCTGACAACTAGCTTTTATTCTGCAAGCGGACAAACTGTGGATATTTTACATACACTCACAGATGTTACAGTTCAAATAGACACGTTACACCAGAACTCGCCTGCAGACTAGTTAATAATTACAAAGTGCCACACGCCAAGGCTTGCATTACTCCAGTAAAAAACTCACACCCTGGTAAAGACTTGTTCAGCTTCTACATACTAGCTGATACAGCGAATGTTACATTTTTATTGCATTTAAGATTGCGTAGGTATTCTGATTTTCACTCTCCCCATTTCAAGATGACATTAACCATACAAATTCAGTTCAGACCGCAACGCTGAAGTATCCTTTAGCTCTGCAGCTGAAGAGCTTGAGTTAGCAAAATATGTAAAGACTTAGTGTGTTAAGTTAGATGAGACACACATCTACTCTACATCCTTTCCTCTGTGAGGGCTCTTTCCAAAGCCAAATCTCATGGTACATTACTGCCACCTTTTTTTTGTTAATTTCTCAGCTCCTTGAAAAGAGATGTTTTCAACTTATTTGCTTATTCACTACATTTTATAATGCAACTCAAAACTAATCTACTTTTAAAATAATAGTTAACATATAATATAACCCTGAAGCTTTTGTTAGCCTGAAGTTGTAAAACAGCCAAGACAGCAAACTTTAAAAATCATGGACTTAGAGTGAGCATGTGCAGAGATGTCCATCTCTGGTTTCTCTTTAGCCAGCCCCCAAATGAGCTAATAAACTGAATGCATATATGATATGACTCTACAACTTGGCTGAAACTCTCATTTTCACTGTCGACACAAAGATATTCAGTTGCAAAGTACGTGTTCCTTATTAAAGTCATAGCATGTGAAATTTCATTTTCTGTTTTACAGATCCTTCTGCCTCTGGGTGCGTGTTGAAATCCCCAGCAACCGAAAGGGAAAGATAAATGTAACGTCACCAGGGAAATGCCTTGCTTTTAGACGAAGTCTAGGGAAAACTCAATTAGTGTACTTCAGGACGAACACCTCTGTAGAAAACCACCTATTTCTTCAACACAACAATGCCTGCCCTCTGTGAATAGTTACGTATTTCTGGGAAGGAAAAATGACAATAATTCTGACTAACATGTACGTTGCTTGAATTGCATTTCGGCGCCTGGCTGGAGCGCTGCACCAGTGAGGAAATGCTGAAGCTGAGTTATTGCTGGACAACCCCCGGGCTGCTTCAAGTCTCGAGCCAGCCGGCACCGCTGAGCGGTGAAACGGATCGTAAAAACCAATGGGGTGGGTTGCAGTCTCTGCAATTTTTTTAGGTGTCAGCAAAGTTCAGGTCACAAAAGTATGACCGAATCATGGCATTTTTAACCACAGAAGCAAACATTTTCCCTTCTGACAGTACTTTGTTGTACTGTCAACAGCGGTGCTGGTTAGCCAGGGGATGTGACAGGTTTCTCCAAAACGTGAATTTCCACTGGGGAAAAAACTATTCACGGTGGACTCGCATGTAAAAAAAACATAACAAAAACAATAAGCCACCCTATTTTTCCAATAATATCACATGCCTTCAAAAGATACCAATGCGTTACTCCAGTACCTCCACCACTCCCCCCAGATGAAGGTCTCTCTGCAGGGCTGGCACTCTGAACAAAGCCCTGGACCGCAGGCACGGGTGGGATGCTGAGCGGGTCCCCGCCTCGCCAGCCCCGCACACAGGACGGGGCTCCTACGGGGATGCACCCGGCCGGCTCTATTCGAAAGCGGCGTTGGAATTTGGTCTTACATCTACCTGTATATATAAAATAAAGAGGCAGAGAGAAGCCGCTCTGTTGCCTTACCACTCTGCCAGAGAACCTCTCGATGGCCCGCTTGACTTTGCCATAGGTGCCTTTGCCCAAGGTCTCCTGCAGCTCATAGCGATGCTTCAGGTTGTGCTTGTGGTGATGCCGTTTCACCCCCTGCTGCTTCCTCGCCGTCGTTACCTCCGGGGACGGAGCCGCCCCGACTGGCTCCTCCATGGCCGCCGCTGCCGCCTCGCCGCCGCCGCCGGGCGGGCCGGGGCCGCAGGAGGAGCAGCGGGGCTGCGCGGGGCTGGGGCTGCTGCTGCCGCGGGCGGCCGCCTCGGCGCCCTCCATGCCCGGCGGCGGCGGCCACGGTGTGAGCGCCCCACCGGCCTCGCCGCCTCTGCCTCGGCCCCGCGCCCGCGCCGGCACCACGGGGCGCGGCGGGCGGGGCGGGCCGGGGGTCCGGGCAGGGCTGTGTCCC